ACAATAATATAATAATATAATATATATATATATATATATATATATATATATAAATTCACACATATAATTAAAAATACAATCTTTCTGTAATATTCTACTCTATAATATTTTATTTTTTACATTTATTCAATAACAATAGATAGAAAAAAAATTTACAATATATTAAATATATAATTACAAGTCATTGAAATAAAAAATATAATTTTATGATTGTCAATTATTAGTTAAATCCTCAATAAAGATATTATATTCCAATAATTATAAAAATACTATCTTACTTTTAATATGTACAATGTCCATTTTAATATTAGTTAGTAAACAAGGTTAATGAATGACAAATGCATTTTCAATCGGATTTAAATTCTGGAGCACACAGTGTAATATTATGAAGTGACTTACACGAATACAATATTCTTGCTGAAAATTAAGTAAATTTATTAATAACTATTTAAAAGAATTATGATTTTATTTTTATGTTTAATTAAACAAACTTTTTAAATTTAAAATTATTTATATTTATATTTATATTTATATTCATATTCAATTCAATTTTTAATTTTTTTTTTAAATATAAAAGAATAAAATAAATTTATTTTATTTTAAAGAAAATTTGCAATATATTTTAATAACATAGAAAATACATATTAAATATAAAATAACAAATATTAACTATAGATTATATTTATTTCTTAAATAATTAATTGAAAATAAAATAAATATTACATTATTATTGCTGGAAAATTAGAAAATATACCTTCACATCAATGTCTCCTATTTTATTGACAGCTCTGATAATAGGACGTCCAACTATAGATGGAAATATGTGTGCTGGAAAATTTGCTCCTGCATATCCACATTTTACAAACTGCAAAATAATGTCATCTTGTTAGTAACAAAAAGAAAGTTTGATAAAATATATAAGATAAATAGAAATCAAGAAATAAAAATAAAATTATAACCTTACCCCTGTTCCGTTATCACAAACAATAATCTTTCTGCCTTTACTATCCATTTTTCAATATGATTATTTAAACGGATATTTTGTGTTTTTTATATCAATATACATTAAACATTGCACATTCCGTGAGATGATTGTCGTAAGATCTAGGGCGTTACCGGTATCATCCCCAGACGTTTAGATTTACTAGTTCATCTGACATGCCAATAGAGGTCTACAATTCTTGCAAGCATTTTTCTAATATATATTTTTATTTATATAAGCAAAAATAATTTGTTTTGTATATATAATTAATAATATTTAAATTAGTATTGATTGATCAATTAAAAATCAGAAATACATATTTTTTCTTACTATCTTTCATTAAATTCTTGATTTTTTGTATGTATGTATATAGTATATGAAAGAAAGAAATAATACAAGTATTACGAAAGATTTTGTCATATACCAAAAGAAAAAAATTTTGTATAACTAAAATATCTTTTTTATTTTAATCATATTATTAAATATCAATATATATATTTTTTATTTAAAAAAAAATAAAGTTTATAAATTATTAATTTTTTTAAATATATGTCATTCATACCACCTATTGAGTGATAAATGGTAACATAATCTCATCTTGCACTAAACTTTTGTCGCATTATTAGATCTTTTTAAATCCAAAGTTTATTTATTATTTTATAAATTAATGATATAATTTCTAAACAAGTTATTTAAAGAATTAAATATATCGTATATTAATAATTTTAAAATATATATAATTAACGTGAATATTAATTGAGTAATTTTTTGAATAATCTTGAATAATTTTTTTCGAATTTTCCATATTTAAAATTTTAAGAAATTATATTATTAAGAGTATATATAATGGAACGCCCAATCGCTTATTTAACAAGAAAAGAAGTAATATCCAGCTGTCATCGTTTACATAAGTATATACATATATTATATTATTTATTTCTATTTCTAAAAATCTTGTATTTAATAAACAAGAATATTTTTCAGTGAAAATTTAACTGAAGAGGAAAATAAAAAAATATACGGAAAATGTAACAATTATTGGGGACATGGTCATAATTATACAGGTAATTATTATTATTATATTAATATGTACAAATTCTTATTATACTTTATTTTAGTTGAAGTGACTGTATGTGGACCTGTGGATTCCATAACAGGTATGGTCATGAATATATCAGATTTAAAATTATATATGAAAAAAGTATTAATGGACCAATTAGATCATAAAAATTTGGATAAAGATGTACCTTATTTTAAAAATGTCATTTCTACTACTGAAAATGTAGCTATCTATGTTTTTAATGAATTAAAAAAAATTATGCCAAATTCAGATCTTTTATATGAAGTTAAGATTTTTGAAACTGATAAAAATGTTGTTATTTATAGAGGAGAAAAAAAATAATTGTTAATTTTTTTTATATAATGAAATTATATTATATTTTTTTAAATAAAGATTAAATAAAGATTTTATTTTTTAAAAGAAATGTTTATTGATTTAAAAATATCTTAACCCATATTATAAAAATAAACACAAAAATTTATCAGTAATGGTAGAAGGTTGTAAAAAAAATACTAAATTAGTGTTACATTCATTCCTTTTTTGAATACACAAATATGTTACAGTAGTATGAATTCACACTTCAAAAGAAAGATATTTTTGTATATTATTTTAATATTGCACTTCTAAAAATGTTTTAAATATATCTACTGATTTATCAATTATATATAATTATATAAAAAATAATAATTAGAATAGTACCAATTTAAAAAAAATAGATCTATTTTTTAAGATTGATTAATATTATATATATGTATAAATTATAGTATATAAATTTCTTATTTGTAAAAATCTTATAAAACTAAATTTTTAAATAAGTAATATAAATAATATATTTTATTTTAAATCACTTGTCATTATCTAAATGCAAGACAGCCTTTATAATTTAGGTTAATAATTATATATTTGTATTAATATCTAGTTTAACATAACTTTTAATAGTCACATATGGTATACCAAGTTCAAAGTCATCCTTTGGCCAATATTTTAATATTGGTGATTGCTGTGGTTTTTCCTCTTTTACAGAAAAATATGCAAAAAGTACAGCTGCTGTGTAACTTGCAATAAAAATAAACAAATGCCAAAGTGCATGTAAATAAGGGAAATTCAGGTTCAACCAAGTATCACAAAATAAACGATCATTCAACCAACAAGCAACTGCTAATAACCATACAGCACCACATCGTAAACCCAACCTATAAACTCTCATTGACTTTGTCCTTAAGAAAAGCATGCATGATGATGTAATTAGATATTACATCATAAAGGTATATATTGACATTGATTGAGAATTTTACCTTTTTAATTCAATGATCATAAATCCAAATGCAGGTATACCAAGACTCATTAAAGCAAATGCATTTATTGCAGGATGTATAAAAGATAAGCCAGTTGCAATCAAAGTTGGTAAAGTTGCACATATAGCAAGAAGTTTTCTATCATTGTGTAAAATATTTGGAAAATACCTTCTTGGAAGAAACATACAAAAACCAGCCATATATACCCATAAAATTGCTAATTCATCTAACAATTGTCCTATAATAAAATAATAATAACTTTATTTATTTATTATTTTACAAATCTATAATTTATTACTTACCTATAAGAGATAAAGTAGCATGAAAATATGCACTACTAAGACCTACTATCATTAGTAAAAACCAAATTATATGAATACCAGGATTTATAAATCGACCATAGTCTCTAAAAAGATGCATAAGAACAGGAGGAAGTAATAAAAATACTACATTACTCAGCTGTAAATAAAAATATAATAAAATTATTATATTAGTTCAATATATTTTTATTTTTATTAATAAAAACAATAAAAACAATATTTTTATTAATAAAAAATTGTTTTTATCATTTTAAAATACAGAAATACAAACCGTATTCATAAATTCTGCAATACTAGAAGAAATACTATAATTGCGTTCACACCAATCAATTGGTGAACTACCAGCCTCAAACGGCTTCCACATATCGAAATACGTAATTTTATTTGATTTTTTTCAATAAAAAAATTTACAAATATCAGATTTTTAATCTAATCTGTAAATTAATGTAATCTGTATTAATATTTTTTAATTTTAATAATATAAAAATTAATCATTAAACTAAAATTTTAATTAATAATTATATAAATCAAAATGAAATGTTTATAGAATCTTTTTACCTTTTATATTAATAACACATTTCATATAAATATCATATAAATTTTATACATTTTAATAACTATTAGTAACTATTATACATGATAAATATTTTTTTTATTAGTTTATTGCAATTTATTACGCAAAAAATATTTAAAAAATATAATATCCATAAATTTAATTAACATCTTGTTTATATTTTTCTTTCAAGTTAAAGAATTATTAATCCACTGCTTAGAATACAATCATATACTATAAGATATTAGAGAAGATTAGATATCAGTATATGTGCGTAAGTATATACAAAAATATTACTTATATATAATTGATGATATATATATATTTATATTAGCATTAATTTTTAAAAATATTCATTTAATGAATTTTAATTTAATTTACAATATGAGAAATAAAAAAGAATAGTATAAGTTTAAAAAATATTATTTTGAAATTATTTGATTCCCCAAAATTTTTATTCATTTATAATTTCTTCTTATAAGTTGGTACTATTAATATAATTTATATTACAACATACTAGTACTATATCATGTTGTATATATGGAATTTTTTGTATAAAATTAAAATTGATGGTTTTTTAAAAATGTTAATAATTAATATATATAAAAAGTGGATGTTTTAACTGAAATCTTATATAATATAATAATAATATAATAGTTTTTGAGTATATATAAACTATTTGATTAATCATATACAAAATATAATAATTAAAATTATTTGCATTTTTTTTACAAAAATTCATTTTGCAAACATGAGTTTTTGTATATACGAATCAGATGTTATAATATGTAATAATGAACAAATTATAATATATAATATTAAGAACGATATGGAAACAAAAATTTCTTTACCTAAATTGATAAATGATAAAAAAATTGATGTGCATAATAATATAAATATTGAAACTTTTCATATGATCACTAATGTAATGTTTTCAAATGATGGCAAATATTTTTTTATTTGTACAAATCGTAAACAATTGTGTTTATATGAAAGAAAAACTCAAAATCTTTTATTAAATAAAATACTTCCCAGAGCTGCTAGCAAAGTGCAATTTACTCCAAATAATAATATAGTTGTTGCAGATAAAACAGGAGATGCTTATCTTTTTTCTAATAAACAATCTGATAATGAAATTTTACTCTTAGGACATTTGTCAATGTTACTTGATGTATTAATTACAGAAGATGAAAAATATATTATTACAACAGATAGAGATGAAAAAATAAGAGTATCCATGTTTCCAAATTCATATAATATTGTATCCTATTGTTTAGGACATACAAAATTTGTAACAAACATTTTAGAATTACCTCATGATAAAAGTATTTTAGTATCTTGTGGAGGAGATGGAATGTTTATATTATGGGATTACAAGATTGGAAAAGAATTATTATGTGTTAATTTTCATAATAAAATATCTAAAAGTGATATTGAAAAGTTTAATGAACAACTTCATAATTGCAATTCAGAAGAATCTGTTGAAGTTTTACCTGTTAAACATTTAAAACTTTCAGCATTTGATACAACTTCATCTTTAGCTATAATGAGCTTTTATAATAATTCATTATTACTAGTATATATAATTAATAATACATCAAAATCAAATATTGAAGTATTATATATACAATCTATAATTACAGATAATGAGCCAATAGAATTTTATCTTTATGAAAATAATTTATGGATATTAGATGAATTTGGATTTAAAATATATAAATTTAAAGACAACAATTTTATACTCTGTGATGGAACAAGTTACAAATTAAATCAATTAAATAATTATTGGAAAATATTAAAAAAGGATAATATTCAACAAAATTTATTTTCAATTTTATATAAAAGAAAATACGACAATATCCAAGAATATTTACAAAGAAAAAAAAAGCGTGTTGCAAATAGATAATTAAGATAATCAATAACATAAAATTATGAAAGTTGTAATTTTTGTATTGAAAATAAAATATGATTGTTAAAAACAACATTATTTTAAATACATATTTAATAGGAGTTTTATATTTTCTTTATAAAATACAAATAGTATTACAATAAAATAAGTTGGTTTATTAATTCTCATATTGTTTAATAAATGAATTAAATTTTAAATATATGTTTATACATAATTGATATATGTTAATTTTAAACGGGTTTGTAATCTAATTTGGATTCAAGTTTCTTATTATCTGAAACTTTCCTTACTGCCTTCATAAAATCTTCCTGTATTACATATTCTCTTTCTAATCTTATTGCAAATAATCCTGCTTCAGTACAAACATTTCTTAAATCAGCACCATTAAATCCATCCGAAAGTTTAACTACTGCTTCATAATCTAAATTAAATTATTGAATTATAAAATTATTATATAACTATATTTGAAATAAAAAAATTAGATAAAAATTTTTACCAATTTCTCCATGCTTAGATATAGGACCAGCATGAATTTTTAAAATTTCTAAACGTGCTTGTTCATTAGGTAATGGAATTTCAATTTTTCTGTCTAATCTACCTGGCCTTAATAAAGCTGGATCCAAAGTATCTGGTCTATTTGTAGCCATTATCATTTTAACTTGGCCTAAAGAATCAAAACCATCCATTTGATTTAATAATTCCATTAAAGTTCTTTGAATTTCGCGATCAGCACTTGTACCTTCCGAAAATCTACGCCCACCTGTATAAAAAAATATAAAAAAATATATAATTAAAAAGTATATTTTTCTATTTTCTTTTCTTTTTTTATTTTCTATATATGTATACCAATTGCATCAATTTCATCCATAAATATGATACAAGGTTGATGATCTCGTGCATAATTAAACATTTCTCTAATCAATCTTGCTGATTCACCAATATATTTATCAACAATAGCACTTGATACAACTTTTAAAAAATTTGCATCTAATTGACTAGCAACTGCTCTGGCCAATAATGTTTTTCCAGTTCCTGGTGGTCCATATAAGAGACATCCTTTGGGAGGAGTTATACCAACTCTTTGAAATAATTCAGGATTTAATAATGGTAATTCTATAACTTCTCTTAGTTCTCGTATTTGTTCACTTAAACCACCAATTGCACTATATGTAACATCACCAGGATCTTCATGTGACATGTTATAAACCAATGGATCAACCTAAATATTTAAGATTTTTTTTATTATATTTAATATTAATTTATAGCAAAGTATAAATTTTACCTCACGAGGTAAATAACGCATTATGGTAAGGGTAGTCATATCAAGAGCTACTCTTGTCCCAGATTTCAATTTATTTTTGTCAAGTTGACGTCGACATCCAACAACATAACGTGGACCATTTGTTGCTTTCACTATAACTATAAAGAATTATATATAAATATATATATATATATACATACACATATATAATGCGTTTGCGTGCGCGCGTATTATAATAATAAATCGCGCGTATTATATACGAATATATAATTTTAATTAAAAAGACTTACATTTTTCTTCAGTAAGTTGTTTTAGTACTTCTCCAACAATCTAAAGAGCAAATACATGCTTTTGTTAGATATATTTTATAAAAAAAGTAGAAAAAATTTACAACATACCTGGCCAACACTTTGTAAAGCTTTTAAATCACTCTCAGATTTATCATATTGTTTCGTTAAATCTTTAAGATGTTCTCTCACTAGAAAGATATAAAAATATTATAAAAATTCATTAAAATTTTTTATTAAAAGAATCTTTATAATAATTATCAATGTGTATTGAGGTTAAATATTTCAATTTTTTTTTATAGAAATTTAGTAAAGAAAAACAAAATATTTTATAAAAATAACTTACTTTCCTTTAAACGTGATTCTACTTCTTTATGTTCTATAAGCTTTTTTCTATAATCTTGAAGGGCTTTTTCCCTAACCGAATCCACGGTGGTTGCCATCTTTACTTATTTTGCTGTCTAACTGTCTCAAGCAATGTTTCTACAAACATTGTATAGATAGTGATTTCAGAAAAATGTATGAATCATTGCAATATATTTCAAATTATTTTGATATATTATTCATAATTTAAATAAAATAAATAATTTATTTAAAATTTCTCTAATAAAATTAATTAAAGATAGATTTAAATTATTCATTATTCATTATTTTGCTAAAAGAATAATCAAGTATTACGAATCCGCCTTTATATTTTAAATGTTGCACATTACATATATTATGAGGTAACCTCCTTTTTTTAATCTGAATTTTAATATTTTTCAAATATATTATTAATTAAAATTTTTGTATTAAATCCATATTTTTAGATAAAGTCGAAAAAAAGATTATATTTGAATTTATATATATTTAAAATGTGGACTTTAGTGAATAAATTTTATGCACTTAAGTATGCACATACAAATATATCTTGTATAAAAATATTGAAGAAAAATTATATAAAAGATCATCCTTATAAAAATATTCATCCTTGGAAATCATTACTAGAATTTTCAAATGATCTTGTAAATAATTTAATTTATAATAAAGGTAATAACATTCAACTATATATTATATTATATTTTTATATTACTTATGCAATAATAGTTTATAATAAATAGTTTATAATAATAATATGTAGTAATATATAATGTTTGCATATTTCAATTTTTAGTTTTGATTTTATAGATGGATTAGTAATATTAAATAAACCATATGGAATAAAACGTAATAAAATAAACTCATTTAAAAGCTCAAGAAATGATATACCTAATGGTGTTGATTATACATTAGATGATGCTTTACCTTATATTGCTAAAGAATTAAATTACCCAAATTTAAGCATAATCAAAAGCCCTGAAATGTAAGTATAAAATAATAATTATTAATATTTATAATTTTTATTTAAAAATTAATCTTTTAATTAGGTACATGAGTGGTATTACACTTTTAGCAGCAAATACAAATGTTCAACATGCTATAGAACTTGCATTTATTCGTAGTGAACATTTCATAAGAACTTATTGGATAGTTACAGTTGGCATACCAAAACAATCAAATAATAATTTTCGTTTAGGAATAAAATTAATTTCAAATCCTTACTTTAAAAATAAAAAGGTAAATTTATTAAATAATTTTTTAAAAATAAATTATATATTTAACAAATTTTCAGCAAATTCTTACCACATCATGGTCTAAAAATGAAGAAAAATTAAAGAAGATAAAAATATTAAAAACAGAGCACAAAGTATTATCTAATTCAATACTTAATTTATGTTCCTTAATTCAACTAAAATCATCTACTCATAATAAACATGCAATTAGATTGTTTGCATCCACATTTTTATATTGTCCAGTTTTAGGAGATAATATTTATGCATCTCAGATTCAAAAAGTTGGAAATACTTATGTAAGAGTCAATCCATTTCTTACTTGTCCTACATTGCCAAAATTGGATGATAAGCTTCTTAAATTATTAGGTATTAACCTAATAATCAGAATATTATTCCTACTCATATTCATCTAAGATCAATAGTTTTACCAAAGTTTTTTGGAAAAACATTGCAAATTGAAGCTCCTTTAATGCCATATTTTGATTGGACATGTAAACAACTTGAATTTAAACATATAATACAACAAAAACAGGATTATAAATCACATTTAGCTTTATAAATATAATGATTTGAATACAATTTATTTCTTTATTATATAAGTAATATAATACTTATTAATTTTATATTTTTTATTTTAACATAAATATACATATATGTATATATATATATATATATATAATTACGATATCTAATGACTAAGTACATATTTGCCTTTCAATATTCTTCTCATGAGAATTTTTCGTCCATTGGGAGTCGACATTCTTGTAATCCAACCATGGCGTTTAATACGACGACGTTCATTAGGACGTGGAAAATGATATCTCATTATAGTTCTATTTATAATTAGATTCCACGGATTTATTATTGTAGGTGTAAAAATTGATGAAAAAGTTTGACTAAATAATGTAAGTCGTCTGTAAAATAACATAACCTATTTCAAAAATATATATATTATTATTTTGATTAGATTTATAAAATTATATCGTACGGAAATGTTTTATATGTATTAGAAATTAATGTGCTTATCATGTCGTAAAAGTATTTTAAAATAATATTATATCTTTATTTTAAAATAATGTTTTAATAGTATCACTTTTTTAATTTACGAAGTACTAAAAATTTTAAACATATCATAGGATTTAAAGAAAGAAGAGACGCAATGTTGCCATCTTAAATTTTTAAAAATCTATAGAAAAGAGCTTAAAAAAATTCTATAAAATTCCATAAATTTTTGCTTAGAAAATTCATAAATTTATTTTTTTATAAAAATATTAAATTATTTACTTATTAATTATTCACTTATTATATTTGTTATCATATATATACAATTATATAAATTATGATTAAACTTTATTTTGGAACAAAAATTTTTTTTTATATTTTCTAATAATTTTTAATTTTTAGTATAAAAGTCCAAAAGTAATTAATTTTGATTTTAGAGTTATATTAAATTATAATTATTAAAATATGAAAACTTTAGTTACTTTTATTTATAGTGATATTTTATTTGATACTAGGACGTCATATATGTAAACAATTTATAATTTATTCATAATCACGATAAAAACACGATAAGTTAATTACACAGTATATTGCATACGTTTATTTTTTTCTAATTAATCTGAAATATAATGATATAATCATAATACAAATTCAACAATTATTTATTTAAATTTGTTAGAATCACAATATAATTATAATAATTGTTCGAATTTATATTGGAATATAAATAATTTATTAAAATAAATCATCGTTGTCACTCACCGTTTAATTCAGTAATCAAAGATTTCAATTTTATTATTCGTTTTGAATAAGATAAATATATTTTGATATAAATTTTGCTAGTAGATTGTATTACTTTAAATTTTGATCTTAATATTAATATTTATAATTTTAAATATTTTAAGATTATCGTTATCGTTAATGTTGAACAATAATAGACAACATGGAATTTGTCTTTCTATTTTTTTATTGTGATATCTTTATTTAATGGTGTAAACGATTTTTTAATATAATCTATATTTGATATTTGAACAAATTGTAAACAATGTAAAAGATTCATTTATTGTAATCTATTATATCTATTGTAATACAATATATTTTATTACAATATAAATTTATTGTATTCTATTTATATAATTTTTATATAAATTTTTTTTATTTATTTTTTAAGTTTTTTTTAATTCAATTTGTTTTAAGTTTTTTCATTATATTTCTTTAATTTAAGTATATTTTATATATATATTTGTTTTGTCATATTCTTTTCAAATTTGATCAATTTTTATTTTAAATATTTTTAGTTCTTAAATCTTAAGTTTTTAATTTAAATAATTTTTATGTTAAATTAATAATCTACTCTTATTATATTTTTAATCAAGTTATCTTTATAAAATTCGATGTATAGAAATCTATATGTAAACGTTTAAAGTATAATTACTTCAATGTTCATATAATTGAAGTGAATAGGAAATCTTTATTGCTCTAGCTAATTAAAAAAGAATTGATAGTAAAACGAATTAGTGTGCATATTAATAGTACAATTGAAAATTGTGGTGACAGTAGCATATTATAAAAGTGCATAATTACATAAACTTTTTATTAATAAGATATTATATTACACTTAACTATAATTTATTAAATCTTATTTAAATAATATGTGCTTATGTAATTATTATTATACCAGAATTGAATGTTCTTGTTATAAATTATCATAATGAATGACTAAATATGTATGAAAATAAAGATTCGAAAACGAAATGGTTTTGAAGTATAATAGTTTAATTATGTTAAATTAATAATAAAGATCCAAATTGATTGGTTGTGTACATAAAATTTTTTACGAATACAATGACTATACATTTATTACACTTGTGAATAGTAACATTTTTTTTTTAAGTTAATTTGTTATAAATTATTAGAATATATTTTATATAGATATTTATAAATATTAAATATATCATAATATGTAAATAATCATATAATATAAATATTAATATATGAATATTCGTGTATGAATTAAAAATGAATATTTAAATAAATAATAAATAACGCGATAATGAATTGATTTTTAAGATAATAAAAAAATTTTATTTTTCTTATCTAAAAATATATTAATGCAAAAAAAATACTTTGCATTTTGAAAGCAAAATCACAAATTTTGAATATTTGTTTCGTATTTTCAAAAATGTGTTTTGATGAAGAAGTCATTTTATAGTATTTTTATTTTGATATTAAATTTTTAATTAATTCATTGAATTTCATTTCAATCGCTTTATATATATATATATATACATATTCTCTTTTAATTAATGATTCTTTTTATAGAATATTAAAATTTCAATTTATTATATTGATAAAAAGTAAAATATTAATTAAAATTTAAGATAAAATGAGATTATATAAAATAAAAATTCATTAGCCTATTAATTGCAAAATATTTAGATTAATTTATTTTTTAACTCAATTTAAAGTGTTAATTTAAGTTTGTAAGAAGCAGAAGATTATATGATATATCAACATTGATCAAATAAAATATATTTAAAATTAAATTAATAATACATAATCAAAAATATTAATTTATAGTTGAAATATATTATAATATATATAGATAAGTAATGAGCAAAATGAGCATAATGCTTTGTGAGAAGTTTATTTATGTTCTTTTTTTTTTTAATTATCAATTATTTTTCATTTTTATGATGATAGAAGTGTAAAATATTAATATGAATTAATAATAAAAAAAATTTTAAATCTCATATTTTAGATTTTATTTTCAGATTTATTCTTTCACAACGGTTTTCTTTACAACTTCCTTTTTTGCTGTTTATGTTACAATCAAAAGTTTTATAAAAGCACATCAAAAGAAGAATTTATTTGAAAAGAAATTTTCACATAAAAAAAGACTGGAATATTATAAGAATATTATAAGAATATTATAATTAGGATAAATCTTCAATTTGCAATCAATTTGCAGTAAGATGTGAAAAATCATTATTATTTAATATACAAAATATAATCATATCATTACATACTGATAATATTATTATTTATGAGAAATAATATGAAGTAATTGGCTGTAAGTACGATTATATTTTTCATAAATAAATGTTTTATTGAGATGATGAATATCTATCTTTTTTATACTTATAATTTTTTTTTTACTATTTGCTTTCCTTATTTATTTAGATTACTCTAGAAATGATTCTTTAATTTTTAATCAAAATATCAGTTTTGCCATTTTTTAAATAATGGATTAAATAAAATAGGCAATATTTTCTGACATATATGTCGCATTTATATATATGTGTTATAATTTATTTTAGAAAAATATAATTTGAAGATCAGATATAAAACTGACAAGAATAAAGAATTGTATTTAGTTTTGCTTACAGATTGTTTTAATTTCGCAATCGCGGTTATGAAATAGATACTAAAATGAATGTTTAACAAGAAATTTTGCATGTAACATATGGATGTTGATCATTGTGATTATTCATGATCGTTCATGAGCATTTTTTTGATCGTTTTGTTGACGATTTGGTTTTTTTTTTCATTTGCAATATCGAATCTTTATATTATTAATATAATTTTTTTTATTCAATTTTAGATTGCAAAAATATTATTTTTTCATTAATTTAGTGTACAATTTATATTAAATTTATTTCAAAAATCAATATTATTATATTGAAATGTGTTATTTCAACAATTAATTGGCTTAATAAATAATTGTATTTTTTTAAATTAGTATTTTATTCACAACATGTTCAAATTTCTTGCATTGACTTATATAAATATATTCTTATTTCTGAATTATATAATATGGTTAGAAAAATAAGTAAAGAATAAAAAAAAATAATATATTATATAGAATGTTAATATGAATTGAATAGCTTTAACTTCAATATGAACTTAAAAATTAGTTAAAATTTAATAAATAACTCTCAACGGACATTTTTATACTTTTGTTTGTTTTGATTAAAATGTTCTTAGATATCAAAGATATCTCATCAATATATTAACACTTTGTATAATATCTAATTACAAACAACATAGAGAAAAAAATTTTTAAAAATATTTATAAATACAATTTATTCTAAGTTTTCAAATATATTTCATTTTAGTATTTTTTATATTATTAAATTGTGCATTTGTGCATGTTTTTAGATATATAAATAATATAAAAAAACGATATAGATTGGCAAATCTTTTTTATAGATACATATCGAATTTATATATTCATTATTATATTTCATTAAATTGCCGTCAGATGGCTATTCATATCTGTTGCATACATCAATGATTATACGCGTGGCGTGAAAAAATTTAAGAAGTTTGAGATGACCTATATTTATACTTAATTGCTAATTTTTTTTAAAGATTACATTATGGAATGTAATTAATTTCTAACAGTGTTATAAATATCAATTAAATAAAAAATTAAAAATATAAGAGTTTATTGAATATTGATTGTTTTATCTAAAAATGATGCATTTACAATGTGATATAGCCTGTTGTATTTCAATTTTATTTATTTCAAATTTTGCCAAAGCAGATTCTCAGGATTATTCGAATCTTCAGGTAAAATAGTATTGAATGTATTATTAAAAAATCAATCAATATGTAAATTGTAAATTAAAAAATGTAATGCTATTAAACAAAATTATTTATTATAATAATATGTAAACATATATATTATTTTATTTTATATATATTATATATATTATATACATTATATACATTATATACATTATATACATATACATTAATTTAAGTTTTAAAATTCATTATTTTTAATTTTTAATTATATGAATATTTTTTATAATTTTATTTTATTTAAAATGAAGATAAAGTATATATTGATTGAATAAATATGTATATATTTATATGTTTTATAATTAATATGATTTGTTCATTCATGTTATAGGAAAAAACAATACATTTGCTTGATAAAAAATTTAATTCTAATGAATATTCTGATAATGATGAAAGAGATAGAGGATTTTTAGCTAGTGAAGATAGTGAAGTACCTGTTTCAAATACATTTGATAAAAGTTAATAATATTTTTAAGAAAATTTAAAGTATTAAATATATTAAATAATATGTTTGATTATATTTATTCATTCTTTTAATATATACAGATATTGTATGGAAATCTCAATGGGCTAACAATATCAAATTTGGTCAAATATCTGGAGTATCCATAGATCCAAATGGAAACATTGGAATATTTCATAGAGGATCACGAGTATGGGCTACGAATACATTTGATAATACAAATAGATTTGATAAAAATAAAGGCCCAATTCAAGAAAAAACTATAGTTTTGTTAGATAAACTTGGAAGAAAGTTATTAGAATGGGGTGCAAATATGTTTTATTTACCACATGGTTTAACAATAGATATGTATGGAAATTATTGGGTTACTGATGTAGCCTTACACCAAGTATTTAAATTTGATGCAAAAGATATAGCAAGGATGAAAGACATAACTAAATTGAAAAAGAGACAATACATTCAAAAAAAAATGTTTTTTAATAATCATAATTTTGATCCTTTGTTTGAGAATAATGAACTCAAACCTTCAATGATTTTAGGAGAAGCTTTTGAACCTGGTCATGATGAAAAACGATTTTGTAAACCAACAGCTGTTGCTGTAGAAAGCAATGGTGATTTTTTTGTCAGTGATGGTTATTGTAATTCTAGAATTATTAAATTCAATGCTAAAGGAGAAATAATTTTGCAATGGGGTCGACATTTGAAAATGGATGGTATTTATATTTGATATATATATACATATATATATTTATATATAAAGAATATTTTATTAAGAATAAGAATCTAAATTTAATTATAATATAATCAATATATTTTATTATACTTATTATAGGAAACATATATGATCTAACTCATCTTTCATCAAATGTATTCAATATACCTCATGCTTTAGCACTTGCTAGTGAATTGAATTTACTTTTTCTTGCTGATAGAGAAAATGGTAGAGTTTTATCTTTTTTTGCAACTAATGGAACTTTCCATAAGGAATATAAGCATCCAATTATTGGTAAAAAAATATATAGTGTAGCATATGCCAGAGAAAAACTTTATTTGGTTAATGGTCCTGATCTGAATTATAAAATACACATTCGAGGATTTATTCTTGATGTAAATTCAGGAAATATAACATCTCAATTTGGTCCAAGACAAGATATGGACAGACCACATGATATAGCTGTATCTGAGAATGGTTCAGAAATATATGTAGTAGAATTGAATATAAATACTGCTTATCAATTTTTCCAAGGTAAGACTTAAAATTCTGAAAATTAATAAAAAATACGAATAATGTTTATTATTTTTATTTAAAAAAAATAATATATATATATAATAAATTATATATATATATATATATAACGTTCGTTTTATAGATACAAATACATCAATGCAAATTGGAAATTCCATCATACACGCAAATCCTCACCATGAACCAGCACCTTTAATGGACAGAGCTATTAACAATCTTTCTGGAGGTACTACAACAGCAACATTAGTCTTATCCCTTGTTACAGCAGCAGTCATTTTTATTGCCTTCTGTATAGCAATTGCTGCAGTTGTAGCAAGATGTCAAAAAAGAGGTAGATTGTTTCAGTATGATGAATCTGCGGTTGAATTCTCAAAACTAGTCGAATAAAAATAATCATTTGACTGATTTTGGGTTGAATAATAGCTATGCACGCATGTTAATTAATTTTGCCGACATCAAGTGTTCAGTAGTGATTCTATTGAAAGTACTTAATTTCGTTAATCTATTATATAATAATAATAATAAAATATCACTTCCTTAATGACTAGATAGGAAAAAAAAATAATTTTTTAAATTGATATATTTAATCGTTTTTTTAATCTTATTTATTTATTTTTTTTTAATTTTTCACTATAAAATTTGAAAAGTTTTTTTATTGACTATTTATGTTTTATTATTCTATTAAAAAAATTATATTTATAAAAAAAAAAATAATTCTTAAATCTAAATATTCGAAATGGTAAATATTTTTTTTTATTGATCCAAGAGAATTATAAATTATAAATTTGTATACTAATTTATATAATAGTATAATTTAATGGTTAAATGATGTAGTATTTTAATTTTTATTTTTGTTATAATTATATTTATATTTATATGATTTTGACAAATATTATATATATTTTTATTTTTTATTTAAAGGAAGTGATTTTTTGATTTTTCACAAATTATAATTAAAAATTTAAATTTTTATTTGACATTCCATCAATTTTACTTCCATTTACATAATATAATAGTATTTAGCAATTTATTATATATATTTATATATATTGAGTAAATATTTTTTTAAATTTTCTGTGATCGCACAAATGTATAAGTAATTTTTATTTATATAGTCATTGAATTTTTTATTGTATTTAAAACTAAAATGAAAATTAGAATCTAAGGTTCCTTGAATTTTTCGCGTATTCAGTTTTGAAAAATTTTATTTTTTATTTTCTACCTCTTAAATGTGATCATTTATTTATTTTAAAGGTTCATATGTTGTAAATGAAATATATACATATTTTCATTTCAAGAATGTTTTTTGTTATTCCCCTGCGCATTGTCCTATTTAACTTCAGTATTTTCAATGGATCGTGTAAGTATTAATAATAGTATATAGTGCACGATGCTTAAAAATATGTAACACCATAAATTTGATGCTATATATATATTGTATTTTTGATTAAAATTATAGATAATATATAATTATATTAGATTTGAAAATAATGATAAAAGATCATGACATTATTACTATTAAATATTAATAAATGAAATAAATTATTTTTTTAGAAATTTTCTAATCGCTTATTTTTATAAACAGGATGTTTATTAATAATGCACAAGCGAATGCGCTGGGAATCGGACAAACGAGAAAACTTTAGACTCTCAAATCTTTTGGAAAACAGAAGATGCAAAAATTTCAAGATAATGGAGAAACGACCAAATCCGCGAGACTTTAGTAAATTGAATACTGAACCAGAAACCTCAGAAGATGAATATCCGGAGAATAGTTTTACAAAAGTCATTTCATAAAGTTAAATATATACTTTGAATGAATCAAGTAATATGTATTCTTAAAAACATATTGTTTTTCTTTCTCTTTTATAATATAAATTTGAATCTGTGTCTTCATGAAAAATGAGAATTCTTATCTTGCATAGAAATTGCAAGATGTTCAAAATAATGCTTCATGATATTATCTTTATTATATTATCATTTATTAAGTTAAGTATATTTAATTATTTGATTATTTATATACTTTTTTAAAAAAAAGTATCGGAATCATTAAGATTTTGTCTTTGACGGATATAGTTTTTTATTAACTAATCAAATTTGATAAATCGAAAGTATATATATAATTATATAATTATTCGAATGCTATTATATATTCCAATATAATTAATTCCATTTCCATATATATAAATTTCTCCTCTTATATGTTTTAGATAATCATTATGCTCGAGAAAGTATTAAAATGTTTCTTTTGTATTTGAGGAACGAGATACACTGAAAAGTGTATATATATATATGTATGTTATAAAAATATATTTGAAATCGCGTTTATATTTAATCGATTAATCAAGTATTAAATTTGATAAATATCTATGTTCTATCATGCAATTAGTATTTGTTTCCATAAAACTGCCGGTATTTGTAAATTTTATTTGTATTCGAAAACAAATTTAGTTTAAATATTTATAATATTTTTAAATTAATTTATAAATAGTAAAAAAAAAGTGAAAATATAAGAATTCAAATTTTTCTTGTAAAGATAAATAAGACATAAAACATAATCATATGACATTATTAAGATTAAAGATTCCTTTATTTCGAACACATTTGATGTTGTATTAGATTATTTTTTTTATAATATTAAAAAAAATAAATTGGAGAATATTTATCTCAATACTATAATATACCTGATAATAATGGCCTTATAAATTGAAAAATGACCAAATTTATTCTGTATGTATTGAATGTCAATATCTATTTACTTATATTATAGAATTATATTCTATAATTATATATTTATTACAAATTATTAACATATCGCTTTAAAAATATATGACAGATAACAATACCTATAATATTTCTTAATGTAATTATTTTTTATTTTTTTTTGTATGAAAGATTTATTAATATTTTGTTTTAAATTTTTGGAATTAATTAATATTAATAAATTTATAAATTTTCATTTGTTCAAATGTGTTCGATAAAAACAATATTTTTCTAGTACCTGAAATTTTGCATTTAATATTTTTAAACATACTAATATTTACATAATACTCATATGTAAGATGTCCGATAACTAGGAATATAAGTGGATAAGAGATGATTTTATATATAAAAATGAGTCGAAAAAAAAAAAGAATGAAATTTTTTCATTTTAGTTTAATTTTAGAGTAAATTATATTTAAAAACTTTTCAAATATAAGAATTTAACTATTATGAAAATTGATTAATTGGAAATGAAAAAAACATGACATTATTCTATGAAAGAATATATATGAAAGTAAAAAAATATAGAAAAAAATATTTTTAATATTGTTTTGAAAAAATCAAATTTTAAAATTTATCGATTATGCATATACATCTTAATTTTCTCAATAATAAAGATTTTAAGCAAAGAAAAAATATTTATTCTTTTTTGGACTTATTTTTATATGAAAAAATATCTCTTGCTAGATTTGGTTATATTAATTTTGGATATCTTACATAACTTTATATTATTATCTTTTCCATTTAATTTTAATATTTAATTATTTTTTTATTTCAATCTATAATTTTTTGACTATTGTATTATATTAATATTTTTATATATAATTGTAGCAAATATATATTCATGAATATAGAAATGTATATATTTTCAAATAAAAATATGATGTTTATACTTTTGAGGGTATTTCAGTAAAAATTTTTTGATTGTTAATCAAAATTGATTCAAAAAAGTTATTGAAAATATATAAAAACGTTGACTTTTTGATAATGATTTATTTTACACACTTAGTTGTCTTCTATACACAACTATACAACGATAAAAATTAAAATTTTTCTATTTATCACTAATTAAGGTCATTGACGATTAATGATTTGTGTTAAAGATGCATAAAGTCAGTCCATTTTTTTGCGACATATTCTATCAAATTCATATTTCATTGCTTGTAAAACGTACGAGCCGAGAAAAAAGAAAAAATAATGTTATACGCGAAATATGTAATTGATTATGATATTGCAAAATATTTACGCAAATGTTTTAATTGTTAGCAAGCATAACACTTTGGCAGATTCGATTCGTGAAATTATTTTATTTCCACACACGTAACTGATAAATAAATTATATCTTTTGCATATTCAACAAAAGACATAATATAATTTCGTTAGACAATTTGAAAATGTCTTATACGTAAATGTTTTATCTTACTTAAATATGTATAAAAATATGCAAGTCAGTAACATGTAGAAAATATTTTTAAAAGTAAAAAAAAAAAAAAAAAAAAAAAGAAAAAGAATAAGAACAAAAAGAAAATGAAAGAATCGCTTAGGATCATTCGAATATAAGTTACTTCATCCCGAACACAAATCGTACCAGCAGGATGAAATTTCGAAAAAACATCGTCGTTTTGTTATATCATTTTTTTTTTTGTACATTAAAAATCGTATACGTTTCGTAGTAATACACTGACAACTGTATATCGTTCATTTCATATTTATCACTAACTTTTACCTAAGACTACCATAAATTCGTAACTAGAATAATCGATATTCGTTATCGCTCGCGATCACTATTATGGTACTGCTTATTAGTTTTCTTGCAATATCATATACACGGCTTGTCGCTGTTGAAAAAAAAAAAAAAATGGAACAGCGGGCCTAAAATATCACAATGTCCAAGTATACTCGCGTATGTTCGTTTGTAAATGGGATATCGTGTTCGCTTACAATATTCAATTATTATTAATATTAGACGTATATTCTATTTACAAAATTTTATGTTCTGGTGTACAACAACAAAACAATTCATATTTTTGTAGCATTCTAGAAGATTATTCGGGAAATGCAATATGTGTTAAGTGTCAACTTGCATTGTAATTACTCAAAGTATTGTTCCTCTCATGCAAGATTCAACATTACACGCACACATACTGGTCATTTTAAAGCAAGTGAAATTCCTTGTTCAAATACACGTTGTCTTCTCTCAAGCATTTACTTATATTTTTGACGTCTCAGAAATCAAACCAGTCTGCGTTCGAAGTATAAAACCGAACAAAGAATGGTTAACTTCATTTCTCTTTGCGATTTAACTTATATATATATAATTTGTCATTTTTTTCATTATTAAAGTTTAAAGCTATCGTTGAACGGGTTCTCTTTCTTATTTCTGTTAAAATAAGATCAAGTTCAAGTTCAAATTAAATTTTCAGAAAATTATGAAACAGTACTTTTGCTTTGGCGTTTGAAAATATGTAAAGGAAATCATAAACAAACCGAAGTAAGTTTTTCTGAAAAAGTTATTAATGATGATATTAATTTTAATAGTAATAATTATAATCGATCATAGTTGTTACATTAATTTTTTTACTATATTTACAATGCCATACATAATACTATAATAACTTGTCGTATACACTTTTTCGTTACACCGAGCAGCGGTGCCAGAATTTATTGATTCCTTTGAAAAAATATAATGATAAAATGCAAAATAATATTTTTGAATTCTAAAACGAACTCTCTTTTTTAGATAATTTATTTAGATTTCGACTAAATATTTGCGAATAATTCATGAAAAAAATTAACGAAATAAACTCACAGTAAGCGGTTATAAAATCTCGATAAAATTAAACATTCGGTTCAATTGTAAGAACGATGGAATTATCGGTGTACACATTTTAAATTTGGAATCAGTCATGTTACAAATGCATGGAACGTAGCAAATCGTTCGACTAATATCCATGATGAAGTTAATATATGTATATTATGAAGTAACCACTTTTTTTTTTCAGCGTTGCACAGCTTCAATGTGACACGAATCCTCTTGAAGAATTCACTAATGCATTTTTAATTAACGAAGCCTTCTCTTTTTATTACTTTTTTTTTCACTTTTATCATTCACGTTTTTAAGAATTTTCTCAATTGTTTCTTGATTAATTCATACAGTTTAACGACTCACTGTTTTCATTACCCGAATATATCACGATTACACGTATCGTTGGCAGAAGAAAGAGACATCAGCGTGACTTATTATCACTGGTGGAACCGATAAAAGTTCTATAGTCACTCTCCTATCCGTGATTGTAAATTGTTGACCAGCCGAGCAATGATGAAAACCAATGTTGAGAACTACACGTATTTTTGTTAACACTATAGAAAAACAACTGAAATTCGTTGTTGTTGTCGCAGTTTATTTTTATCTTCTTCGCTGATTTATTTTCTATCTACGTGATGAATTTTTCATTCTCGTCTCTGTTGGCTAAATACTTGAATTCATCTCGATACGTTCGAATGTGCCGGTAACAAAAAAATCTATCGTTAAAATTTTTCTTCTTTAACCAACTCGAGAATGAAAATAACGTAACAACTCGTTAGTTATCGACGGACAGAATCGTCATTGATATCGCTGAAAATTGAAATTGTACATCTGTCGTGGCGAACACGTAGATGCATATCTCTCTCTCGATGACAATCACGAGTTAGAGAGAAATATCCCTAGAACAACCTGTGTCCTTTCTTCTATCTCGTTATTTCGACCCACTACCCTGCATGTTGACCGCTCGGAACCATCCACGAAGGGAATCCTTGAAACATTTCCCCGATAGGATTTATCGTAGAATTAAGAGTGAAACTCGCTGGGCCTCAGTAAACGGAATTGTACTCCATGTCCTGAGCATATTGGGGAGGTCCTGCGGGTGGTGGCGGTGGCTGTGGGCTGTATTGCTGCGATGCATCCGAGGCGCGACGCCTGAGCGCCGCGATGCTGTGCGCGCCTCTCCAATCCGACGCCTCGGTCGCGTTCACATCGGCAGCCACGCAGGAAACACCACCGCCACCGCCTCCGCTCCCGGAAGTCGTCCCAGGCGAGCCCTGGCCGCAGTTCAAGGCCGATCCTAGACCACCACCCTGACCACCGCCCACGCTGGACCCTCCTGGAGGCGAGCCTCGGGACGCAGACACGTGTACACCCCCTGAAAATTGAAGTATATATATATATATATATATATATATAATAATTACTTCTTCTTCTTCTACTTCCTATTACTAAGTT